ATATCCATATCCATATCCATATCCATATCCATATCCATATCCATATCCATATCCCTATCTATCTATCTATCTATCTATCTATCTATCTATCATCTATCTATCTATCTATCCACCCATCTATCTATTTATCCATCCATCCATCCATCCATCCATCCATCCATCCATCCATCTATCTATCTATCTATCTAGGATCTGGGTTTGTTTATAAATGTGTAACAATGCAATACATACCTCCAGGACATATATCCATGATATCAAAAGAAACACACAGTAGCTTCTTTCTAATATAGCTGAGTTCACTTTCCTTCTAGAATACAGAAAATACACCCAGGTGGGGTTCCAGGGTTTGGGCTCAGGAAACATGGAGAGATAGTGTTTTCCCACTTAGGTAACAGTGTTTTTCCACTTAAAAAACCTGAAAATGTGCAGATGCTGGCTGGGGAATTCTAGGAGTTAAAGTCCACATATTTTCAAGATGCCAATGTCGAAAAATAGTGGATTAGCAGCTACTGGAAGTAGTCCCATATTTTTAAGTCACTGTAAAAGCTCTTAAGAGTGAAACTCTGCATTTTTGGGGTGGGGGGGAAGGTGGTACTTGAGAGTAATGATTGCAAAAGAGAGTACCAATGACTTTGGTGGATTCTGTGATCCTGTGTTGTAATTCTGATTTTTAGTGGGTAGCAGTCATAATATCATGAATGTATACTGGCCCTTTTTTGGTATGCAAGTGCAATGTATGTATCTGTGGCTTCTCAAAGTGATTCAGTGGATTAATTCATCCAGAAATAGTTATGCATCCAATTGTAGAAAATGTATGTTACTCAGGATTGAATGGCTGGGTTCTTGGTGTTCTCTGTGCTTGGCTCATTTCCTGCAGGCTAACAAACATCATTGATGCATGGAAGAGACTGCAGAGAAACACCAAGCTCAGATAGCATGAAGAACCCAATATTTATGCATATATTATTGTGTGAAGGAAATGGAAGGAAATCACCGAGTCCCACAATTCTGGGACAGAGGTAAAGGTGAGGCTTCTAAGTCTCTTTATTCTGAAGGATTTTTTAAAAACCAGACCAGAACATTATTTCTGCCCCCTTTCTTTTTCCTGGAGTTATGGGTTATGAAATCATCATCAACAAAACAAATGTCAAAATGTGTATGTCTCCATCATCCTTGTGTGGGACTTGTGTGATTGAGACAGACATCAGGATGCAAACAGATAAGGACAGCTGGTGTGAGATAGCATCAACACATGCATGCCATTATTTTGGTGTCACAGTAGTTTGCTGTGGATGCTATTCCCTAATGTTGACAGATGGAAATTTAGATTCTTTAAGGGAGTATTGTCCCACTGCTGAAGATGCTTCCAAATCTTTAGATTGAGAGTAGATTTTTTTTAACCTTGAAAAAACAGAGTGATACAGTAGCTGCTGATTGTGTGACATCTTCTGGGATGATTGAAGAAAGAAAGATCTTTGTAATAAGCTTGCTGATACAGAAAGATCTGACAGGGGAGGTTTAATAAGAGACCAGGATTTCATGATTAAGATAACTGCTTATTTCAGAAATGCTATTATCCCTTACAAGTCCCTGTTTCAACTTCTGAACTGAAACAAAACAATCATTTTTTTCAAATAAAACCTGAAATGATAACTTGTCCTTATAATAAAATAGAAATCTGCCCACTCAATCTTAAAATATACCAAGGGGATGGATAAACCTATTTTAATTATACTGCAGTGGCTCTCTAAATTTTGCAGTGATTCTTATCCCTGTATGTACACATATCCTCAATTCTTTCTTTTTCCTTTTTCCTTTTTTTTCTTGGTTGCTTCTGCTTTCTGAGAATTAATAGAAAGGATTAGAAAAATATATCCCCACGAGGGAAAATATACTTTTATCACTTAGCTCCCAAAGATCTTTTCAGGCTTATCAAAGCCCTGTTACTTGCTGTGGTGATAGACAAGGACCTCAGTTTCCACATGTGGCAGCAGAAATGTATCACCCATTGAGAAAATGGGGACATCGTGCCTCCAGAAGGGAAGATATTAAGCTGTTAAAACACTTTTCTTCCATCTTCAAAAACTGATGTCCTGTGTCAGAATGCAAGCAAAAACAAATTTAACAATTTAAAGCTGAGATACATAATGCTATAAGAATTCACGACTGAATTAGGAATTAGTTGGTCTTTTGGTATTATTAAGGTGTGGCTTCTGTGCGACAAACATGTCCAACCATACAGGTAGTCCTTATGACCACATTTGGGACCAGAAATTCTGTTGCAAAGCAAGGCAGTTGTTAAATGGATTGTGACCAATTTTATGATTTTTTTTTGCCAAAGTTGTTACGTGAATCACTGCAGTTGCAATAATGCAGTTGTTAAGAGAATCTGGCTTTCTCCATTGATTCTGTTTGGCAGATGTTGGTTGAGATGGTTGTAAATGGTGATCACACATGCCAAGCTGTTTCCTTGACCTCCCGTTGGCCACTCTGTTCCAGCTCTTTAGGAAGAGAATAATTGCATATGAAATGATGGCTGAGAAGACTGACCTTAAATCAGTTGTCTTAAATATCCAGAGCTTCTTTCTGATCAGAATCAATACTTGTCACTTAACTCTACCACTGACATTGGATCACATTGGAATATGGAGGAAAAGGCTACTTTAATACAATATTAGATCACCCCCTCATAGACTTAAGATAAGGGCAATTCAGGGTCAGGACAAAGTGTAGGGGAAGTAGCTGACAAGCACAATTATGCGTTGATATGCCAAAATCCCACAGAATTCAGATTTTTTTTCTCCTGTGAAATATCTGAGAATGTGTGATGAGCCAGGGTGGGATACAAAATAAATACAGTGACAAAAACAGGTGAAGCCCCTTTTATTCCTTCACTTTGCTTCAAAGCTCCAAATATCCTTGACTGGAGACCAAAAAACTCCCCCACAAGCAGTTACAAAAAGGAGGAAATGCTGTTTAAACTAAAAATGGCTATAAATTATAAAATAATTTAATAATTATAAATTATAAAAACAACACAAACCACACTGAAGCAATTAAGGGAACCAGGCAAGATAAGGGCTTGAAGACGTCCACAGATATCGGAACACACACTGGGAAGGATGCGAAACTCAGAGAGGAATGACAGACTAAAGATATTTCCATGCTTTGTTTCCAGCACTGGCCCATACACATGTCAATCCTTTTAACCAGTTCTCACAGTTGCAGCCCATGAAGAGGATCAAGGCCCTTTCCTCCCCGTAGACCATGCCATTCACATCTCTCTCTTATCCTCTCCTCCCTGCATGCCCTAGGATGGAGAGGGGGTGGGCCTGGGTCTTCCCCTGACTGCCCAGCCGGCCTCTGTCCTTCCCCAGCTTCCTCCACAACCTCCGGAGCCACACTCCCACTCCCTGATGGCTGTTCCTCCTCTCCCTCGGAGTCAGTCTCCAACAGGGGTATGACAGAATGTCTCATGCTTTCTCCTCAGCCCTGGCTGCTTTGTAGAACTTCCTCTGAATAGTCTCCACCACTTGTGTGTGTTTCTACATGCACATAAGTGGCTGCAACAGCACCAGAGGTGGTATTCAGCAGGTTCTCACCAGTTCCAGAGAACCGGTAGCGGAAATTTTGAGTAGTTCGGAGAACCGGCAAATACCACCTCTGACTGGAGACTTTACAGTCTCTTTCCCCTGCCACGCCCACCAAGCCACGCCCACAGAACCGGTAGTAAAAAAAAATTGAATCCCATCACTGAACAGCACCCCCTCTGCATGGAGGCAGGATGCAAAAGGTTGGCCAAATTGTAAGCCTGGCTGTTTCTACCACTGGTTGCAGAAGTGAAACACATGCACATACACATTCCATAAGGAACTCATGTACCTGATGGAGAATTTTACCTGAAAATTCACTGGAGAATTTTCACTGAAAAATCAGTAACTGTCTTTCTCTAATTTATCGGTGTATAAATTTGGTAGAGAATTTTAAGTCTCAAGTAGAGGAAACATATTTCAAAGACATTTTACCTTTTTTGCACAGAGGCACCAGATGACGATTTCCTATGAGATGCACTTTCTATTGATGCTGCCAAGGAAAAGGAGTTAAGTTAGATTTGAAGCCTCAACCTATTGGAAGTGGGGGGGAAGTAATATAAAGCCATTTCGTTTTTTTTTCCCCTCATCCACAACTAAGTTCTAAGTTCTGGACAATTGCCAATTTCTTTAGGGTTAGATTGTCCCTACTTCAGTGTGACTGATAATAAGAAGAGGATCAGGATGTAGGAAATGCAAAACAAAAAACAAAATTCTGATCACCTAGGTTGGATTTTCCTGGCTTTCTTTGCTTGTTACCAGTTTATGACCAGCTGGCATTTGATCAGCAGCTGAGAATTTAGCAAATTGTTCACCATCCAGAAAAGTTGGACTTTCCACCAGCAAGTGTAGAATCTTTGTTTATACTTGTAGTAGAATATAGAATAACAGAGTTGGAAGGGACCTTGGAGGTCTTCTATTCCAACCAGAGGTGGTATTAGCAGGTTTTGACCGGTTCTGGAGAAGCAGTAGCGGAAAATTTGAGTAGTTTGGAGAACTGGCAAATGCCACCTCTGACTGGCCCTGCCCCCATCTATTCTCTGCCTCCCGGGTCCCAGCAGATTGGCTGGGTCTTCTTTTATTGCCCTGCACAGGAGAACAGAGCTGGAAAGCAGGTTAGTGGGGTGGAGAGGGAATGGGATTTTGCAGTATCCTTTCCCTGCCACACCCACCAAGCCACAGCCACAGAACTGGTAGTAAAAAATTTTTTACATCCCACCACTGATTCCAACCCCTTGCTCAGGCAGGAAAACCCCTATACTATTTCATACAAACGGTTGTCCAATCTCTTCTTTAAAACCTCCAGTGTTGGAGCATTCACAACTTCTGGAGGCAAGTTGTTCCACTGATTAATTGTTCTAACTGTCAGGAAGTTTCTTTTTAGTTCTAGGTTGGCTTCTCTCCTTGATTAGTTTCCACCCATTGCGTCTTGTCCTGCCCTTAGGTGCTTGGGAGTAGGGTTCTCCAACCTTAACAACTTTAAGACTTGTGGACTTCAACTCTCAGAATTCCTCAGCCAGTTGAAGTCCACAAGTCTTAAAGTTGCCAAGGTTGGAGACCCCTGCTTTGGATTGGAGAATAGCTTGACTCCCTCTAGTGACAAAAACTGCAAGTCACTTCTTTATATATGTAGTCCTCAATTTACAACAGTTCATTTAGCGACCGTTCAAAGTTACAGCGGCATTGAAAAATGTGACTTATGACCACTTTTCACAGTTACGGCCTTTGCATCATCTCCGTGGTCATGTGATCAGAATTTAGATTGCTTGGTAACTGGTTCATATTTATGACCACTGCAGTGTCTCAGAGTCATGTGATTACCTTTTGCAACCTTTTGACAAGCAAAAGTTAATGGGGAAGCCAGATTCACTTAACAAACTGTGTCACTAACTTATCAACTGCAGTGATTCACTTAAGTCATAAAATGGGGCAAAATTCACTTAACCAGAAATTTTGGGCTCAATTGTGATCATAAGCTGAAGACTACCTGCATATTTCTATTCTCTTTCTTTATATTCCTACTTCTTCTTTTTTCCAATTTCCTTGCACTTTTTAATCTTTCTTTCTCTTTTCCCTTTATTTCAGTTTAATTTGTATTACATTTTACTACTATAATTAAAATTCTTAATAAAATTATATTAAAAAAGACTTACATTTTTCTCCAGGTGATTCATCTGTTGCCTCCCTTGGTTGAGGCAGCAGTAGCTGTATTCCCTTGAGCAAAGTAAACCTGATGATTGGATGATCTTCTATATAAATTTATTAAAAGTGAAGGCAAATTATAACACAGGCATAATCACCTGATACCCCCCCAAATGAAACATTATTGAGGTAATTCCCCATTAGGAGAATGAGCGGATTCAGGGAGACGTATAGAGAGTAGTGTTTGAATAATACACACACAACACACAGATACACTGTACAGTAAATGTAGGTTTTTACTTCCAGAAACTTTTAAGCAAAGTTCAAACACAGTCCAAAGTCATTCACAGGTAAGATCAGTCCGTTTTCAGTCCAGGGATAATCCAATAACAAAGTTCAGTATCAGACTTACATCAAATCCAAGAATATCAGTCAATTAGGAGGAAGGGCAATACTCTCCAACAGAAGGAAACAGAAACTTACTGAAACTTCTTCTGAGACTAAGACCAAGACAACCCAGGTTTCTGGCTCCATCTTATGGCCGTTTGAGAAACCACACCCAATTACACTTTTAGGATTATCTTAAAGAGACAGTATTAAAATGTCTATCCTGGTTTATATATTTCTAACCCAAATACCTGTTATTACATTCTTACATTCCTAACAAACATCACTGATAAAAATTGTTTTAATATGTGCACTGTAACAATGGTGTAATTAAAGTTACTGAGGTTGAAGGCTTAGCACCCTATAAAAGGTCAGGAGTTGCTTTTTGGTGTTGTGATATACAGTTCAAACGTGCTAATCAAGTGCATATTTTATAACATACAGCATATACAAAATAAATCATGGAAGCTGCATATTCTGCTTACCTCCACTGAAACCACTGGACCTCCTAGCTACCCTTGTAGGTGACAGTGGTAGTATAGGAAGAATCTCATCTGTTTTTTCTCCTTTACGTTTTCTGAAATATTTCATCACTTTCCAATAACAGTATCTGCCAGGAAAAATGTTGATACTCCTGGCAGCTTTTATTGACATAATGCACATTTGACAAAGCAAAGAGTTGCTCGCTAAGAAAGGTACAAAAAAACAAAGCGGACAAATAAACTTAGAGCCTTCCTGAGCCTTCTGATGGCCTGTCATACACCTGTTTGGCTGGGTGGGCTATAATTTATGTAGAGTGAAAGAATCCAAAAAAACAGGAGACAAGTAGACAGAGTGACAATTTAGGGACATGCAATTCTTCTTTGAGTTTTTTCTTTTTGTACTACTAAACCATCCAAAATCAAATTATCACACAAAAGTTGCACAAGCAGTAAGATCATGCAGGCTCCTACCTTCAATTGATTTTGGTATATGTATTGCTTAGATTGCAAAATCAACTTTGGGACCAGCTTAATAATCCTGTTGTTGTTGTTTATTCTCTGATTTTGTCCATGATAATAGATATTTTCCAGATCAAAAACATGCCCAGTGACCTTTTTTTTTATTCTGTCATTGTTACATTATCTTTCTCTCATCCTCAGTCCATACATGAGGTAGCTTAAAATTATCCTTGGCTGTTCTGGTCCGAAGAGAGCATTTTTCTCCTTAATCATTTAATGAGCCCAGGTATTTTTGTTGTGAGGGCAAACATACTGTATGTTTAACCCATCAATATTGCAATCAAATGACCAGCGAAATATGAGCCAGCAGTGTGCAGCCGCCGCCAAAAAAGCTTATGCAATTCTAACTTGATTAACAATCAAGATCAAGTGAGATACTAATACCATTCTATAAATCTTTAGTAAGACCACTCCTAGAGTACTGCATCCAGTTTTGGTCATCACACTATAAAAAAGATGTTGAGGCTCTAGAAAAAGTACAAAGAGCAACCAGGATGATTAGGAGACTGGAGACTAAAACATATGAAGAATGGTTACAGGAACTGGGCTTGGCTAGTCTAGTGGAGAGAAGGACCAGGGGAGACGTGATAGCAATATCGTGTCCAATATTTGAGGGGCTGCCACAGAAAGGAAGGGGTCAAGCTATTTTCTAAAGATTGCGTCACTTGCATTGCAAACGACACAAGGTAATGAGGGGAGGGGAGAAAGGGCGGAGGGGGGGAACTTGCCCCATGCGCCTTGCCTGGCCACCGGGCTGCTTCTTTCTCCTTCTTTCTCCTTCTGCTTTTGACTGCATGCAAGGAAAGCAGCAAAAGTCTTTCTTTCTCTCCCCCAAAATCTGCCAGAAATGAGTCTTTGGGATCCTGCAAGGCATCCTGTTCCAAGAGGCTGTGCCAGCACGACAAGTCTCACAGAGTCATTTCTGGCAGAGTTTCGGGGAGAGAAAGACTGCTTCTGCTGCTTTCCTTGCATGAAGCCAAAAGTCTCTCTCTCTCTCTTTCTCCCCCCACCTTGAGAACGGAGCTGGAGATGGTATCCTGCAATCCCAAATAAAGAATGTTTGATTGATAGGAAAATGGGGTGGGGAATTTCCTGCAGACTTTTTTGGGGATTTTCCCAGGGTCTCTGGTCCACAGGACTTAAAATTATGAGTTTGGTGGTCCCTGAGGTCCAAAAGGTTGGTGACCCCTGCTTTAGGGCATTGATTTTTTTAGTCTGCTCTACCTGGCTGGGCTGACACTTGATAGCAGATCTTGACAGATGATGGGGTCTACACTGTACAGCTGTACAATGATTAGTGGAGAGTTTCTACTTATTAGTGAGACTAGAAAAGAGAGGACAATGACACCAATTCAGTGGTGTCATGACACCTTACTTACTAAAGTGACACCTTACTTACTAAAGCTTTAATGACACCTTACTTACTAAAGCTTTAATAACATGCCCTGAATACTTCAAATCAGGATATTGTTATATGGTGACAAACCAGAACACAGGTTTTAGATGCAGGATAGGGATTGATAGTTTAGTTGATTGATTAGTCAAACAGTTACATAAAATCATAATGGCAACAGGCTAGAAAGCAGGAGATGGTAAGTTCAAGTCCCACCTTAGCCCTGAAAGCCAGCTGGATAACTTTGGGTCAGTCACTCTTTCTCAGGCCAATTCACCTCACAGGATTGTTGATGTGGGAGAAATAGGAAGGGGAAGGTGTGTTCGATATGTTTGCTGCTTTGAATTATTGTAAAAATAATACAGGCGGAATTCAAATCAATAAATAACATTGCCAACATGAATTGCTAGTAAGTGCAGCAAATGCTAATCCTGTACAGATATCTGATGAGTGGAGAACACTTTAATTTTTGCAATTGGAAAAGGTCCTATAAGAGTGTCTCAACACACATATGAAATATACATACACAGCAAATCTATTCCATGTGATACAAATACTTACTTCTTCCAGAAGTATAATATATGTGGGAAGATGGAAATGATAGCACCATGATAAAGAGTCCTGTTCACCACACCTTCAGCAATTAAAGTCCGAATTTGAATACACTGTGCATCTGTGAGATTGACCTGATCATGGAAGATATCATAAATAAATAAGTAAAACCCAACCTTGGCAATTTTAAGACTTGTGGACTTCAACTCCCAGGATTCCCTAGCCAGCCATACATGAAAGTCCTAGGGGAGAAAACAGACAGAAGGAACAGCTCAGGTTGGCCACTACAAGGCTTTCCCTCCTCTCTGTGAAATCACATCCCTAAAATTGTTCAGGGACAGGAACATACAGACCAATCATTATCAGACATGAACATATAGACCAATCATTATCAGA